ATAAGTTTCTTGTTTATGTTAAGTTCAAGCTGAAGACATTCCAGTTACAGGAGCAGTGGAAATGTAGATGAAAATCCTCTCGTTTCCAGGCAAATGCTGGTTTCGGAGATGAAGTGAGATGATGAAATGAGAAGTTACAGAATAACAAGGTGAAAAGAAGTTTGGGCTTCAGTTGATGCCGACGCTGTTGATCCTGATAATCACATCTCAAAAGAGGATCCCGGGATATCTGGTATAGAGAGAGTACTCTAGGATCTCTTTGGGTCAGGTTGAAACCAGGCATAGTGAAACACCAGAAGATTTTATGATTTAAGGGGTTGTAATGTGGATTTGTCTCTGCTATATTATCCATGTCTAAGTCGCCTGCAGGCTAAGCGCCAACGGAGGCAATCAGGACAGCATGGCAAACCCGTCATTTTTAAAAGACATAATACTGTGCCAGAGTCTCAAACTGAGCAAGGCCTGTATGATCTGTAGCTCTTCTAATAACAGCATAGTTAATTCAATGTGTTTAGTAAATTCAGTATATTTAAATCTCTAAGTACTCACAGCCCAAGAAAAATTACCCAATGAAACTATCCAGAAAAGCCTAGTTTTGGTAACGTGTTAAGCCTCCAAAGGCACTGTTCGGATTTAGATCAGTTTATGTGATACCTAGAAAAGACTCCAAAGCCATGAATCTTGATAATTTTGGTATTAGATCAATAACAGATGAAATGTAAAGAGAACAACTTTAGAATCCTTCTCTGAATATATAAACCTCAGTACTTTTTCTGATGATGCACCTCAAATGCGTATCAAACAAGAAAGGAAAACAAGGACAACTGTACAGTATGCTTCCCCCAGAAGAGAATATAATATTTTCCTGTTCATCTTCACTTAAGTTTTGGAGAAAATTTAAAGTGTTTCAGTTTTAGTTCCTGGTGAAAAGAAAAGAAAATTCTGAAAGATTTTTTTTTATTTTGATTTTTTTTACCAAATTAATTTTTTAAAATTTTTTAAAATTTGATTTAGCATTTCTGCATCTAATGAAATAATTACAACAGGATCCACCTTAATGTTTCTTAAAGCTATAAGATTTTCTAAAGTCTGTAGTAGGGTGCCTGAGTCTGGAATGCCTGGAATTCTCATATGCAATATATCTGTTGGGCGGAGGCGGGGGAGTGGCTATGTATGGAGCGTATGTGACAGAGAGCCATCTCTCCCTCATGGGAACATTCATTCTGACTGAAACGAAGTAATATTTATTCTCTCTGAGCCTGTATGCCATGGAAGATACAGCATCTGCCCTTTATATTGTTCTCTGGAAAACCAGAAGTCTTTGGCATTTAACCATCTCTCAGGTTTTCAGTAGTATAATTCTCTCTATATTTTGCTTAAATAGGCAGAAATACAGCTTTTTTCCTTGGCCATCCAGACATTGAAGGTTCATTTGAAAAGGGGAAGTAGGGGGGACTCTTAATTCATTTTCCATGAGATCCTAATCTTTTTTGTAAAGTTTTGGATAAATTTCTTGAAATCTTAAAATTATGTCATCAGGCATTAGATATACATTATGACCATCCAGAATTATTGGAATAGAACTCCAACATTACTGTTTGAATTGATATAACAGTTCCCAGATTCTCAGAATTTGTGCTGTAGAACAATCCGCTTTATCTAATTAGACGTGGTTCATAATTATGGTGAGCCTTTATTTGTTTAAACATGGTTTGTTGAATAAGTCATAGATGACTGCATTTGTACATTGCATTTGCCAAAATTAAATATATAATATTATGACTTAGTATGATATGTGAACTCAGTTTTATAGGGAAGAAGGGAGAATTTAAGTGATGTAATAACAAAGAGAGATATACTTGATATGTGTGAAAGAGTAAGTGAGCTTTGAACAATGGAGCCATAATTTTATGCCATTTGTATAGAACATCAAACAAAATGATTTTCCAAGTCCAGAACAGAAAAGTATCTTCCTAGCAACATTTTATTTAGGGGAATAGAAAGTGCAGAGTTGCACAGTCTAGGATTCTGCATAGAAGTACAGAAAGCACATAACATTATCTTTCTTATTCAGTTTTGAGGAGAAGCTACTTGAAGTAGTAGCAAATTTCAGAGCAAAAAGTATCAATCATGTTAATACAATTAGTTTTTCTTCAAAATGCAAATAGCCATCTTATTTTGATGATTAGGGAAGAATGTAGGGAACCATAGTACATTCCAAAACAATTAAGGAATCATTTTATATATTAAGGTATGGTAATGACTTCCTCAAATTGATCTAGACTTCTGGAAATGGACACAATTGTGCTGTTTTCTCGGGAAAATATGGAAGTAATTTCCTTTTGCCCTTACCAGGAGATAGGCAGATAGAATAAAACAGAGGAAATTTTATTATGACCAGTGCAAGATAGATAGATAGGTAGATGATAGGAAGGAAGGAAGGAAGGAAGGAAGGAAGGAAGGAAGGAAGGAAGGAAGGAAG